GAGAGAGATTTTTGTGCCTCTCTGCAAAGGGACCACAAGCCGACGCTCGTTTACTGACCGCAGGCTTCTGGAAGGGATATAGACGCTTCCTATAGAGTGGAGGTAGGAGGGTGCGGAGCCCGTGGCTGTTCTGTAGGCAAGCACCAATGACTTGAACTTGATGCGAGCCGCGACTAGTAGCCAGTGCAGAGAGATGAGAAGCGGTGTGACATGGGCCCTCTTGGACTCATTGAAAACAAGATGTGCTGCTGCATTTTGAATTATTTGCAGAGGTCTGATTGCACATGTTGGAAGTTTAGCCAGAAGAGCATTGCAATAACCCAGCCTAGAAATGACAAGGGCCTGGACGATGTTCTGTTAGGAAGGGTCTGATCTTCCTGATGTTGTGTAGTGCAAACCTGCATGATCGTGCTGTTTTTGTGATATGATCTTTAAAGGTCAGCAGATCATCAAGATTCCTAGCTGAACCCAATGGGATTATTGTTGATTAGCCCAGATGGATGGTAAACTGGTGCTGTACTGAAGGAGTTGCTGGGAAGATGAGAAGCTCAGTCTTTGCCAGGTTGAGCTGTAGGTGATGTTCTTTCATTCATGCCGAGATGTCCGCCAGGCAGCCTGAGATCCGTGCAGCTACCGTTGGATCATCTGGTTGAAATGAGAGACAGAGCTGTGTGTCATCAGCATAGCAATGGTAGGAGAAGCCATGTGCCTGTATGATGGGACCCAGTGATGTAGTGTATATGGAGAAGAGGAGCGGTCCTATAACTGAGCCCTGAGGAACCCCAGTGACCAGTTGATGTGATTTAGATGCCTCCCCACCCCAGGCCACCCTGAAGGACCTACCTGTGAAGTAAGACTCAAACCAGTGGAGGGCAGTTCTGGTGATGCCCAGCGATGAGAGACTATAACACGAAAATGGCTCAAAATCGAAACTAAGTGTGGTACAGTTAGCCACTTAAGCGCTAAAAAGCAAAAAGTATTTTTTCTTTTACAGCCAATAGCAAACAACATGCACAATCAGCATAATCTTTTTAAATAAAATAAGCAGTAAATGAATGAATCCTCTCAACTAGCAGATATTTACTCTAAATGACAGCAACAGAAAACTGGTATTAAGCAAAACTCACAGTCAACTCGCTTTTAACAGTTCTGGAAAACAGTTTCTGGAAAGTCAAGGTTTTTCCTCCTGTCTTCTTCTCTCTAATGCAGATTTCTCAACTGCAGTTTTCCTAATTCTTCTCTAATTTAATATCTATTTAGAGAGAAATTGTTCACATGACATTTAAATTTTTCTTAGGTTTTAACTGCAAAAGAAAATAAAAAAATCTTGATTTTATGTTGTGCATTTCTAGAGGTTTGTCAATATTTTGGGCACAATTTATTACCTTTAGTTCAGAGTGGACAGTTCCATAAATGCCAACCACACAATGGAAACTTCAGATTTAAAATAGTTTGTTTAGGTCTGTATGTTAAACTTATGGATTTTTGAAGTAAACTGCTTCATTTATCCGGCACACATTTCATGGCTTCAAACAGGGATCATTAATTAGCTGTTCATTTAGGTTCTGTACACATTAATTCAGATTTAATATATGTTGACAACCTGATTTTTTTGCATTTGGTTGTAATACACATAAACGACCAATCTGTCTGTACAGAAGGAGATGAAGCGCTCGGTAAATTCATGACAGCTGCAGTGTGAATGTGGCTTCGATATGAGAAGTATTTATATCAATAAACCATTTCCAAAAACTCAAGATGTCTGAGAATCAGAAACTCTCACCTCGTCAGCATGTTCTGAAATGAATTCTCAGTGGTGTTTGTGGAGTCACGTCTGTAAGGTTTTAATGATCGTAATCACAGATGCACTGATATGGCAAGCCGTTTTGACTTTTATTCCTTCACAGGATATGAATTCTTGATATCAACAATTCAATTTTCACTAGTTAAAATGCTCATTCTTGATATCAGGAATTGGATTTCAACTAGTAAAAACTATAATTCTTGATATCTGTAATTGTATTTTCACTAGTTAAATGTCACCATAGGCTGCCATTCAAATTTAATTGTTGATATCACAAATTGATTTCTTACTAGTTGAAATTACAATTTCACATATCAGAAATACAATTCTTACTAGTAAAAACCTTTATTTTTGATATCAGTAATCATGTGGTTACTAGTACAGATGTCTATTCTTGATATCAACATTTCAATTGCTACTAGTAAAAATTTTCATTTTTGATATCAATAATTCGATTGTCACTAGTGACAATGTTAATTTCGGATATCATGAATGTGATTGTTACTAGTATGAAAGCCATTTTAGATATTAGAAATTATATTGATATAGTAAAAATTTAATTGTTGATATCAAGAATTCATACCCTGAGAATGAATAAAAGTCAAAACGGCTTGCCATATCAGTGATGATGAGCAGATAGTTTAGCTCTTGTTCTCGGAACAGTGTTGAGTTCTCGTTAGTTCGGAGTGATGGATGTGATTCTGGTGTCAGTGAGGAGGCAGGACTGATTAGATATCTGCGCTGTCTCCAGTGTCTATCTGTCTGTCTGTCTATCAGTCTGTCTGTCTATCTGTCTATCAGTCTGTCTGTCTATCAGTCGTTCTGTCTATCTGTCTATCAGTCTGTCTGTCTATCTGTCTATCAGTCTATCAGTCGTTCTGTCTGTCTATCTGTCTATCAGTCTGTCTGTCTATCTGTCTATCAGTCTATCAGTCGTTCTGTCTGTCTATCTGTCTATCAGTCTGTCTGTCTATCTGTCTATCAGTCTATCAGTCGTTCTGTCTGTCTATCTGTCTATCAGTCTGTCTGTCTATCTGTCTATCAGTCTATCAGTCGTTCTGTCTGTCTATCTGTCTATCAGTCTGTCTGTCTATCTGTCTATCAGTCTATCAGTCGTTCTGTCTGTCTATCTGTCTATCAGTCTGTCTGTCTATCTGTCTATCAGTCTATCAGTCGTTCTGTCTGTCTATCTGTCTATCAGTCTGTCTGTCTATCTGTCTATCAGTCTATCAGTCGTTCTGTCTGTCTATCTGTCTATCAGTCTGTCTGTCTATCTGTCTATCAGTCTATCAGTCGTTCTGTCTGTCTATCTGTCTATCAGTCTGTCTGTCTATCTGTCTATCAGTCTATCAGTCGTTCTGTCTGTCTATCTGTCTATCAGTCTGTCTGTCTATCTGTCTATCAGTCTATCAGTCGTTCTGTCTGTCTATCTGTCTATCAGTCTGTCTGTCTATCTGTCTATCAGTCTATCAGTCGTTCTGTCTGTCTATCTGTCTATCAGTCTGTCTGTCTATCTGTCTATCAGTCTATCAGTCGTTCTGTCTGTCTATCTGTCTATCAGTCTGTCTGTCTATCTGTCTATCAGTCTATCAGTCGTTCTGTCTGTCTATCTGTCTATCAGTCTGTCTGTCTATCTGTCTATCAGTCTATCAGTCGTTCTGTCTGTCTATCTGTCTATCAGTCTGTCTGTCTATCTGTCTATCAGTCTATCAGTCGTTCTGTCTGTCTATCTGTCTATCAGTCTGTCTGTCTATCTGTCTATCAGTCTATCAGTCGTTCTGTCTGTCTATCTGTCTATCAGTCTGTCTGTCTATCTGTCTATCAGTCTATCAGTCGTTCTGTCTGTCTATCTGTCTATCAGTCTGTCTGTCTATCTGTCTATCAGTCTATCAGTCGTTCTGTCTGTCTATCTGTCTATCAGTCTGTCTGTCTATCTGTCTATCAGTCTATCAGTCGTTCTGTCTGTCTATCTGTCTATCAGTCTGTCTGTCTATCTGTCTATCAGTCTATCAGTCGTTCTGTCTGTCTATCTGTCTATCAGTCTGTCTGTCTATCTGTCTATCAGTCTATCAGTCGTTCTGTCTGTCTATCTGTCTATCAGTCTGTCTGTCTATCTGTCTATCAGTCTATCAGTCGTTCTGTCTGTCTATCTGTCTATCAGTCTGTCTGTCTATCTGTCTATCAGTCTATCAGTCGTTCTGTCTGTCTATCTGTCTATCAGTCTGTCTGTCTATCTGTCTATCAGTCTATCAGTCGTTCTGTCTGTCTATCTGTCTATCAGTCTGTCTGTCTATCTGTCTATCAGTCTATCAGTCGTTCTGTCTGTCTATCTGTCTATCAGTCTGTCTGTCTATCTGTCTATCAGTCTATCAGTCGTTCTGTCTGTCTATCTGTCTATCAGTCTGTCTGTCTATCTGTCTATCAGTCTATCAGTCGTTCTGTCTGTCTATCTGTCTATCAGTCTGTCTGTCTATCTGTCTATCAGTCTATCAGTCGTTCTGTCTGTCTATCTGTCTATCAGTCTGTCTGTCTATCTGTCTATCAGTCTATCAGTCGTTCTGTCTGTCTATCTGTCTATCAGTCTGTCTGTCTATCTGTCTATCAGTCTATCAGTCGTTCTGTCTGTCTATCTGTCTATCAGTCTGTCTGTCTATCTGTCTATCAGTCTATCAGTCGTTCTGTCTGTCTATCTGTCTATCAGTCTGTCTGTCTATCTGTCTATCAGTCTATCAGTCGTTCTGTCTGTCTATCTGTCTATCAGTCTGTCTGTCTATCTGTCTATCAGTCTATCAGTCGTTCTGTCTGTCTATCTGTCTATCAGTCTGTCTGTCTATCTGTCTATCAGTCTATCAGTCGTTCTGTCTGTCTATCTGTCTATCAGTCTGTCTGTCTATCTGTCTATCAGTCTATCAGTCGTTCTGTCTGTCTATCTGTCTATCAGTCTGTCTGTCTATCTGTCTATCAGTCTATCAGTCGTTCTGTCTGTCTATCTGTCTATCAGTCTGTCTGTCTATCTGTCTATCAGTCTATCAGTCGTTCTGTCTGTCTATCTGTCTATCAGTCTGTCTGTCTATCTGTCTATCAGTCTATCAGTCGTTCTGTCTGTCTATCTGTCTATCAGTCTGTCTGTCTATCAGTCTGTCTGTCTATCAGTCTGTCTGTCTGTCAGTTGTTCCGTCGGTTGTGTCGGGATCGCGCGTCACCCTCCCGCCCCTCGAGCGCAGCATCAGTCTCCGTCCCTCGTTCGCAGCGGTTTAGAGTCAGAGCAGCGTTCAGATCGATCAGAATCAGAATCAGAATCAGATCGCTCGCGCTGCGGTGGAACGAGAAAGACGCTGCTCGGTCACGGACGCTAGCGGCGACACACCGGGGTTTTTGGGATTTCTCAGCGGCATCTGAAGCGGAACCATGACGGCCACCAAAGAGCAGCAAAGCCAGAGACCGAATCCGCAGGACGAGGTAACGAACGGCATCTTCTCGCGTTACACGATGCTTTTTCGTCTCGTTAGAGACCTGTTTTTCCCGAATCCGGTGAGTACCGCGCGCACACCAACCCAACGCCCGCGCCGTTCATGACATCACCGTTATCTCTCGGTTTAACTGCAGAGCAAATATCAATCGCTTCTGCTGTCGTCGGTGGTTATTCGGTGTCTGCTCGTGCTCGTGATGGAGCTGGCCTCGCGCGCGCCCGTGTCTGTGTACCTGTGCCGCCGCGGGAGCGCGCTGATGAAGGTGTCTGTGAATAATGAATGCTTCTCTGCCAGCACCGCGAACACCTGCTGTCTCTGATAGTGCTGGTTCTCTCATCATGCGTTTCAGTTTGATAGAACAAATATTACATGTAGTCTGACTGTTCAAATGATATCATAACATCTGAATGTTTAATGTTCATAAAATGAGATATCCTTTGAAAAAAGAAAAAAAGAAAAAGACATTTTGGAAAAAGAGAAAAGTTTAAGTGTTTTATATATATTTTGTAATATTTTTTTTGTTTTATGTAACTTCCCAAACTGCCTAAAATGAAAGGTAGCCTATAGTGTGAGAGCACACAGACAGAGACTGCATTCAGATGCTTCATTGTTCAATCCCAGTTAGTTAATTTGTGATATTTTGATTTGAGTGTTGAGATGGTTTTGATGGCGATCACCCGTAACCCAGTCATGCAGATGCATTCGCTCGCTGCAGGTTGTTTGTGTTTGTGTTTGTGTCAGAGTCCATCATCTTCATCTTCAGACGATCGCTGGCAACTATTCTAAACAGAAAATTCTGCCTGCTGGGATATATAGTGTAGATCATAACATGCAACTTTGTTCTTTTCATTGAAACTGATTTTAAATCTTAATTTTCACAGCTGGCCTTCAGATGCACAACCATGATTGCTTTTATTATGGGGTTTTAATGTAGAAAATGTGGCATTTATTTGAATGATTGACTGGCAGATGCGACTGTAAAGACTCTCACATCAAACACAAATGTTCAGTGCAAACAAGAATAGAAATAATTCATTCCTTTGGTGATTTTCACACCAGGGATGATCATTTACTCTATATCGAACCAATGTTTTTTTTTTTTTTTTGTCTATTCTGTGATAAGCATGTGGCGATTAGTAAGATTGGAGCTTTTGATCAAACGTGCAGCAGGTGTGTTAAAGAACGAGCGGCGTTCGTCCGTCAGTCTGCAGGTTTGTCGTCTGCTGCTCTAAACGCTCCAGCTCTTTAAAGTCTGATGCACTCTGATCTCAGTGGAAAAATCCCTCTGATTCCAACAATACTGTTCCTTTATGTGGTTATCGTTATAATAATTATTAAAACTTTGTTATTGTTATTTTGTATTATCATTGATGTGAACAGGCTTTAAGGGATGCAATGATTCCCAATCTGTAGAGATGAAATTCAATTTCATTGCTAAATGACAAGATATGTTCAGTAAAAAATGTATTCTTTCAAAAGGCATGTTTATACAGACATTTTGATAACTTTTCACAGTATTAATGCACTACAGTAATTGGCTTTAACTATATGACAGACATCCTACTGTGCAAAAACTCATTTCAGGGATCACAGAAAACACTTTAATAAGCTGGAAACAGGGCTTCTGTCTCTCGCTCGATTCACAGGGTATTGTATATAATTTGCGAGCGTCAGGGATCTGCTGTCGATATGCAGGAGACGCTGGGACAGGAGGGATGTCTGATATGAAATAAACACAAAATATGGGAATTTAATCCATTCATTAGATTCAGAAGTCTTGGCCTGTCATTTATGTCCTTCTTGAAGTTTGTATGCACAAAAACAGATGAAACATTCCTCAAATATCTTCTTCTGTACTCCGCTAAAGAAAGAGAATCATACGGTTTTATATCGACAGGAGGGAGAGTAAATGATGACAGAAATGTTGTTTTTGTTTTTGTCTGATCAATGGAAGAAATTACACGCTTCAGCTTTTAGCTTTCAGCAAGTAACAATAGTATTTGTCTGAAAATATGTTTAAAATCTGTTCAAATTAATTAATGTTTTAAAGCTTAGAATAAACGTAATGTTGGATAGTCAAGTCAAATTGAGAGCATGATGAGACGAGGAACTGAAGGCTTCTGCAAATCCTTATTGCATTAAAGAAAGCCAGAGATTTGATGACAATAGTGTATTATTAATGTTGCTACATTTGTAAATGTCAGATGATATTCAGTGCTGTGTGTTAAATGAAGATCTGTGTGTTTATGGGCGACACTGACGCGGTTTGACCCCTGACTTCAGCTCTATGAATGTATTTGACATCATGATGCTTCACAAACACAGCATTAGCAGCGGATCTCATTCATTATAGATCAGTTTCTCTGTTCTCTTTTGAAAAGCACACAATCACAGTATGATGTCAGATGCAGGAAATCTGAGAAATGTCACTGTAATTCAGTGTCTGTGTGCGGGATATCATATAACAATGTGTTTCATTACTGTGTTACAGCTAGATCCATCATTACTGTAGAAATAATAATTGTTATAATTGCACACACACACACACACACACAGTCACATATACATATTTTGTCAGGTAAATGTTCATCCCTTATGTGAATAAACTATAGGAATGAATTGTCTTTTCTAAATGCAGAATATTTCCATTTTACTTTGAAAAGACCTTTATTCTCTGTCTCTGAGAGACTGCAGAGGTTTCCAGATGTTGTGTCCAGTAGACTTGTGCCGGTATTCGGTAATGCGAAATATCACGGTAATGAATATGCACGATATTGTTATCGTGGGCACTTCTAAATACGTGAATAATTATTATATTACAAATTATTCAGAATTTTGAATGCATTTTAAGAATACTTTTCCCATCAACTGGTCAAAATGCACAACACCGCTGTATGCAGCGTGAAAGACGCGTGTGCACTCTGACGTAAACAAGCGCGGACGTGAAGCACATGGCGGAACATGTGA